CCTGATTGGAGCGAAAACATTTAGTTTGTGTCTTTAGGTCTTCGCAGTAGTATCAAAGCTGGCCAGGAATGCGCACCAGCAAAACTGGTCTATAGCACTACATTTAAGCTGCTCTCCGGACGTTTTTTCTCGCACTCTCCGGACGTCTTTTCTCGCTCTATTTGACAGGCCGGTTTGCTTCGCTCATTACTTTGTGCAGAGCAGATTTTTCATGTTTATTTTTTGCCAACTTCACTTAGTGTATTAGTTTCGTGCCCGTGCATTTTACTCTGGTATTTGTCTCTTGTACTTATCGTTCACTGTATCACCCTTACCGCCACATTCGCTAAGCTATTAGTAATGACGAAACTGACTACCTGTGGCACTTGTTTCACAATATTTGAACATACAGCCAATGCTGTGACATGCCTCATGTGCGGGTGTGAATTCCCATATTTCATGTATTGGTTTGTCATTAGATCCTTTTAAACTACTGCGTGAAATCCAACATGATTTTGTCCAAATATTGTGCGAGAAATGCCAAGCCACTGTGCCATCACAAACCGCCGAGAAGCCGCGCAAGCCTACAACACGGACGAAACAATCCATGAGGAGGAGCTCCGAGGGTTCATCCAAGCAAGCAGAAACCCAGCTACCCCTATGTTCGTACGAGCCCACCTGCACACCGGCTGCAGGCTGTCCAACGCGATGTCCACCCATTGCTGGAGACTCATCTGGCTAGCCTGTGTTGCGTCCTACGGACCCTAACATCTCGGTGTGCGATATCGCAGGCCTTGAAGGCCCATGGAGAATGTAGCGCATTAAAAAGGAGAAGACAACTGTCAGCAATCAGCGGCGTTGTAACCTCATAATATTTCATGCGCTTGAGTCGACAGATGCCAGTTCTCAGGCTCGTTATAACCACGGCATGGATGTTTTGCAGAGCCTGATTGATAGGCTTCTCGATGTGAATGAACAGGTGTTGCTGGTGAAGCAAATCACCCGTCTAGGAAAAAGAGAGGTGGGGAGGTCCCGCACTCTACGAGTCACATTTGTTGATGCAAGGCGTCCGCGGCTGATACTATCCCGCCTCGGTAGGCTAAGAGGTCTAGAGATTCCTATTCATCCCGATTTAAATCTCTCGGACAGATAGAAAGTGAAGTCCGCTATCATGCAGTTGAAGCGGCGGACTGAGAGTAAAGAAGCTAATCTCCACATAATAAATTTTTGTGTAATTCCCCGGGTCCGTCGAACCCGGATCAGCAGATCGATGACGCTCCATGCGTTTCCGCCGGTTCCTACCGCAGCCTACGCGTAGCCTTCACAAATGTTTGTAGTTCAATATACAGACATGACGGTGTATTTCAATTCGCAGCCTCTCGTCGTCCGGACGAACTGGGACGGGCTGAAACCATGTTACCCCCTGAGGTCACTACCCAGGATATCTAGATCAGTGGCTACTCGTGCTTCCAATGCGATAGACTGTCAAACGATTGAGGCCGCGTGCTGTCATATCTTCAGTCCTCGCTTTGCAGGAGAATGGTACGCATCTACCGCAGCGAAGATGGCTTGTGCGGACCTTAATGGTGTTCGATCCGCTTGAGATAGGGTGAATTGTTTGTGGGTGCGGCTTATCTCAACTCGTAAAGTCGATAGCTAGATTGGTTGCCGCATGCCAGGAACCAAATGAGCCGGCTTCACTTCATGCAAATGGGTGGTTTGAACTACTCTTGAATAAGGTGGCCCCAGATTAAACTTCTCCCCGGGCACTGTGAATTTTGCGGAGTTGGTATTTGAAACTGGGACAGCGCAACATATCTGCCAACCGACGCGCATTACACCTCATTCAGTTCCATCGTGCCTGGACCTACTACTAACGAGTTGCGAGCAACGCGTACATGATAGTCAGGTCTTGGAGCCTCTAGTAGCTAGTGACCACTCATTGATGTTAGCCAGCCTAGAGCTGCCGCTGCCCTACTCGAGTCTGCCGGAGCCGTCCTACAGTTATTAAAAGACCGACTTTAATGGTCTACATCGAGCCGCCAGTGAAGTAGACTGCTCACTGCTGCAGGATTGATCAGTTGAAGCCTGTTGCTCTGTTATAAAAGAGGGTGTGCAATGATTGTGCGCTCGTTTCGTACCCTTCAAGTTTCAGAAAGCTGAGTCAGTGAAGCCACATTACTTCGACAGGGAGTATAGTCAATCGGCTCGACGACGAGGCGTATTATTGAATAAATTCCTCGTGTTCGGCTCTGCCGAGGATTATGAGGCGTACAAAAGGCAGGGGCATCTACACAACAGCGCGAAAGCGTCGGCAGTTATAAGAGGTGTTTGCAACCTCAGCGAAGACAGTCGCCAAGATTTTTGCTTACGTGAAGCGGTGCCTGAGGCCCATAAGTGACGTAGCTGCGTTAGAGGGCACTGACGGACAGCCCCTGACCTCCAGCACTAAACATGCGTCCGCATTGGCGGAGCATTCCGCCTCCGTAGATACAAGTGTGCATACGCCTATGCCGAGCTCGACCTGTGCAGTCCCAAATTGATTGCCGTATAGAAGATATCCGCAGTCTACTCGCTAGTCTTGATGACACAAAAGCTGCCGGACCCGATGGACTTCACCCGCTAATTTTGCAGTCCTTATCGACCATCATCTCGCCTGCCGTGACGGATCTCTTCATCAGATCGCTGTCCGAGAGTGCATTGCCGAGCGACTGGAAATGCTCGGTAGTGAAGCAGATTCCAAAAGGTAGTGACCCACGCAATGTGGACAATGACCGACCGATTTGTCTCACTTCTGTTTTGGCGAACGTGCTCAAGAAGATTGTGAAAACGGGTTTTCTCCATCTGCTGGAGTCTAAAGATCTCCTAACACCGGCACAGTACGACTTCATAAAGCGCCGCTCGTGCATCACCAACCTGCTGCTGACGCGTCAGGAATGGTTGCAAGGGTTGAATTGGGGAAGTCAGTGGATGTTATCTATATAGATTTCAGTACAGCTTTTGAGAAAGTGAATCATGAGGTCCTGCTCCACAAACTGAGGATGTGTGGTGTTGGTGGCGCACTGTACCAATGGATCAGTGACTTCCTTATCGAGCGAAGATGGCGGGTTCAAATGGATGACCACCTAATGGAATGGTACCCCTCCACTAGCGGCGTACCCCAAGGCACTGTACTGAGACCCCCTTTATTCCTGATCCACATCAACGAAGTACCTCAACTTCTTTGGTCGACCTGCGTATTGTATTCGGATAACCTGAAGATTATTGATCCTCCCGGCAACTGTGACGTCCTTCAGCAGGACCTCGGCCGACTATCCCGGTGGTCTGCAGAAGTTGACCTACTGATCAACAAGGCCAAGTCCTCGTTTTTGAGCTTGGGAAGGGGTAGCACTGGGCGTGCATACACCCTGGCCGGCCACTCGATGCATCCCACCAGTTTCGTAAAGAATCTGGGCGTACTCTCACGCTGTGATCTGAAGTCTGTCGACAACACGAACAGACTGTACGCAAACGGACGACACCTGCTTTGGTTACTCAGACACAGCTTCTGTAATTGGTATGAAGAGAGTACCACCCGTCTGTTCTCATGCATAATAAGACCGGTGCTTGAGTATGGCTCACCCGCCTATTGCCCGATCACAATAGGTGAGGTGCAGAGACTGGAACGGGTCCAGCATGTAGCTACCCGGCTCATCCCAAGTTTACGGAGTATGTCGTACGAGGACCGATGTAGGAGACTAGGGCTTTATGCCCTGGCATCTCGTCAGTTTCGATTTGAATCCATTAAGACGCACCGGATACTGCACCTGGGCCACTTCCCTATGTTGAAGCCGCCGCTGCACGTTCCCGCATCAAGCAGCACACGCAGACACCGGTACAAACTAGTGGTACCGGATTTAAAGCACATCGCTCACCCTCTATGCTTCGAGCGTCGAGTGGTGAAATATTGGAACAAATTGCCGGAGACGCTAGCCGAGGCGAAATAGGTATCGAAATTTAAGAGATTCCTTGAGACCCACTTTGCGGACTACAGGCATAGGGAGCGTATCGTACCCAGATAAGATTTAGTGCAGCTGCAACATGTTGCCACCGCGCAGGAATCAGCGACGTGATTCAGCGCAGGTGCCCCACCCACCCACGATGGCGCACCACATCTTTTTATCTTCTCGCTCTCTATTCTCAGTATTTAGTACTCAGGAGAGCTCATTTCAGCTCACTCGCCATCATGTATCCCCCCGTCAAACTTCGCATCTTCTGTTCCTCAACACATGCGTATGCTGCGCCCTACCCCTTCTCGTGAACCGTACGGTGCTGTGTAAATGCATAGTGAACGCTGTATCTGCACAACCGTTTTGTTCGCACGGACTCAGGGCTTCGTTCTCCTCTGCCTCCTTACACCGGCCCCTTTAGAGTTCTTCGTCGGGTCTGCAGCAGTGGAAATGTCCTGTCGGCTCTTTCTCTTGAATAGGCAGGTTTTTGCAATCTGATCAGCAGGTCCCGATGGCCCACCGATGATGGACTGCAGTTCACTCCCAAATAATAATTAATAAGTCACAGAAAATACCGGACACAGCGAACTCTACGAGCCTTACTACGTGCATGTGTATTCTATCTGCACTCGACTTCCCAGTTTTCACATCGTCCCCCGCCTGACATTTATCGAAGGCTTCCATCATCAGCCTTCTAGGGGGAGACCCCTGTAATGAACGCGAAAAAGTAGGCTTCATTATTGGTGGTTTGGTGTTGCTCCTCCCAACCCTGGCTTCATGATTTTGTGACATTGGATTTTATGCTTGCTCATTTCGTTCGTCCGTCTATTTGTTGTAATGACGGCACGTCTGGTTCACTTTCGTTTCCTGTGAGTTGCGCGACTCATCGCTTCATGCTTCGCTATTTGACCTTCAGTTCTTCGTAGCTCGTACAACACATGTTGGGTTCGGGAACGCTTCACTTCCGTATACTCGTATCCGTGGTTAGTCTTACTGGTAATTGTCGCTACCAGTAACCGAGTTCGCCTCTACATGTTCCTGTACGACGCCAAAGCAGGGGTAACGTTCGAATCTTGGTATAAGCGGTACGTAGACCTGTTCACCGTTGACTTGGCTTGCCAGGACGGGGCGTGGAAGGTCCGGCTGCTTCTGCGCAAACTTGGTACGCTCGGACACCAACACTACACCAACTTCATCTTGCCGAGGAACCCACGTGACGTTACCTTTGAGGAGACGGTCCGAACGTTGTCCCAGATTTTTGGCGGGCAGTCCTCTCTGTTCAGTGCTCGTTATCAGTGTCTGCAACCGGCCAAGTGTGATGCCGACGACTTCATCACGTACGCGGGCGTGGACAACCGTGAATGCCAACGTTTTCGACTTGGTCTGCTCACCGAGGACCAATTCAAATGCCTGCTTTTCGTCTCTGACCTCCAGTCTCCACACGATGCCAATACCCGGACGCGCCTCCTGTCCAAGCTACAACTGGATAGCTCAGTCACACTTCAGAACCTGAACGAGGAGTGTCTAACGCTGCTCAACCTGAAGCACGATTCTGCCATCATCCAGAACGCCGCCGCACCTGATATGGTCTAAGCAGTCACAGCACCGAGGGCGCAATCGTCCGCGCGAAGTCCTTACCCTACGCGTGCCGATTCTGTGGTGCCGGGCATTCCCAGCGGGACTGCAATTTCCGTCAGCATCGTTGTCAACGTCGTGGCAGAGTGGGGCACCGGGATGGTTACTGCCATCCCACACCTCCCAAGGGGGCCAAAACTGGGCTGGTCCCCACCCGCGATCCAAAGAAAAAGTCCCGACCCAAACGCGCACCTAAACCTAGTCCGGTTGGCAGCTCCCTGAGCCTACTGGCCACGTTCCAAATCAACGCTGTGGATCGGAGAAAGTTGGTCGACGTCTTAATCAACCGTCAGTCGTACACTGCGTCGGACATCACAATCATCTCCGATGATCTCTGGCGATCCCTTGGCAAGCCACCGTTCGAACCGACCGCCCAATCTGCCACCAGCGCCTGTGGTGGTCGCGTGCAGCTAACTGGGCAGGTGCACTGCTCCGTCTGCTTCCGAGGCGCCACGTTCAACGCGATCTGCTACATCACGAAGGCGAAGCTCAACACGCTTGGTCTCGACTGGCTCGAAACCCTTGGCTTGGCCGATCTCCCTCTTCGAGCCATCTGCAACGCGGTACATTCCCCGGCAGTACCAAACAACAGAACCGACGAAAAAGTCAGCCAGTCCGCCCCCGTGTTCCGAGATTGTCAACAAGCCTCAAAGATGCTACCACACCAATCACCGGTTCCTTTGCATCCACCAGCAAAACCGTGGTCCCGAGTGTACGTTGACTATGCTGGTCCCAACGACGGCATTTCCTACCTGGTCTTGGTCGACGCCTATTCCAAATGGTCAGAAGTGGTCGCCGTCAACCCACCAACCGCCGCTCTAGGTTGTCTCCAACGTATTTTCAGTCAACATAACCTTCCCGAGGTTTTGGTGTCCGACGACGGTTCCCAGTTTACGTCTTCCTTCTTCGAAGACTTTTGTCGCCGACACTGCATCCAACACCTCCGCTTACCGCCTTACCATCGCCAGTCCAATGCTCAAGCGGAGGGATTTGTCGACACCTTCAAGAGGGCGCTCTTGAAAACTCGCGGGGAGGAGGCCGTGGATGAGTGTCTTCAGGCCTTCCTGCTCTCGTACCGATCCACACCGAATCCAACTACGCCAGAATGCCAGTCACCAGCTGAAGCATTGATGGGCCGCAAGCTACGCACTACCAACAAAGCGCTCATTATGACTGGTAAGCCACCTAGTCACTCTAGTGCCTGCACCAAACACAAAGTACTCGTCGTTGAAGCCCCGGTCTACGCTCGCGATTATCGAGCAGGTCATCCATGCTGGATCAAAGCAACAGTGGCGGACAAGCGAGGTGGCATGCCGCATGATGTCTCCGTGGATGGTGACACGTGGGTTCGCAATTGCAATCAACTTCGACCGCACCACGAAGAACCCTCCAAGCCAGCCAGCCTTCCTGTGCGCTTACCGATGCACATCCTGTTGGATACCTTTCGACTGAGTACCCAATGAGAGACCACGGTCGAAGCCGCTCAATCGCCGCCGCGTCTGGAGAACCCGCTTTGCCGACGAACAGGAAGAATCCGGAGGTCGCCGAAATCACTCTAGGTAAATCCTCTTCAGAAGCGGTGCCCTTTCTCTTCAAAGTGAGGTGTTGCGGGCCCGTCAAATATTCCCGCGAAAACGCGCCACGAACTCCGGCATCATGGCTGTGGAAAGCGGGGTCCAATTCCTTCCCACAACGCAGCAGCGTTCAGCCACTCCGAGACGCGGCCTAACTACGCACCTGGTGACAATGTTCTTTTACAAACTACCACCCCGTCGTGGTAGCAATTGTCCCTAACCTAATGGCCCGTTGCATTGGCTGTGATTCGCCCTTTGTTGGTCGTAAAAGAGCCTTCAGGGGACCACCTGTCTTGCTTCCTCTTCGCCCTAGTTTTGAGTCGGTCGGTCACGTGATTTTGTGTGCGTCGTTAGCCGGGCACGTTTGCGTCTAAGCCACTAGTGCGCGTCTACCGTAACCCCTCTCGTGTGCGTCAGTTCCGAGGGCTTAGCGTCTACCCGAATACGTGCGGCTAGAATCGTTCCCAGGCTCACGCGTACCCCAGGCTAAGCTAACGCCATCAGGTCAGCGCAAATGCGTTCGATTGGCCAGCGTTCCAAGCCATTACAGTAGGCGTGCTCCAACCGTGCAAGTGACAATCTTATCGGGCATTCCCCCAATCTTAACCATATGGTTGGCGGCATCCGGTTTCGGATTTGCCTGTCACTGTGGCAAGCCACTGGACGCCTGCACCTACAGAGGGACCATGGATGGCTTGCACTGCACCACCCACAGCTCCATCCACACACCCCATATCCAGTGTAAACCCGAAGGAATAAGATCAGGAGGCACGTGGATGGGAGCCACGTTTCACCAACGGAGCCGGCCCACACTCCTTCACAGGCAAACACCAGCACATTGTATTTGGGGAATCAATCGCACACAAGGCGGTGGCTGGACCGTAGTCCGCTCCACACTGATTGCATGGAACTACTCTGTGATCCTAACACGGCCACAAGGACCGTGCACCCTGTCCCCTCCAGCAACGACCAACTGTCTCCTGGAGCCAGTATGGACGAGGTAGTAGGTAATAGACAGGTAGGCACCTTGTCAACACGCACATCAAGCGCATCCACACGGGGGATATCAAACAACAACCAAACACTTGAGAGAGAGAGAGAGAAAGAAAAAGAGAAAAGCTCGATTAATGCATAAGGAAACGGTGATATAAACCTTAATTAAGTAGCATATGTAGTAAGTTGTTTACAAACAAATCCTAGCTAAGTGCACGAGGTCAGGAAGTATAGTTCACGGAATGCCACGAACACAAAAATGTTATGGAAATCGAATACAATTGGCTTAGGCGATGTGTACAAGTTAATGGAATAGAGTACAGGGAGATATTTATATGAGAAAGAGAAGCATTAAGGTAAAAACTGTAAACCCACCACCTGAAATAAAGAGATTTAGCATGCAAGCACGCGGTTAGTAAATCGAATTCAGCGTGCCTACAAACGCTGCGCCGGCTCGCCGTAATTCTCTGCAGGACCCGTCGTCGCTTCTGTAGTGGCCCCAAAGGGCCTAGCCCAAGGCCCACTAGACATATATATATATATATATATATATATATATATATATATATATATATATATATATATATATATATATAATCAAAATTTGCCCCACAGGAGCTCATGCATCTGATCCAGCACCTTAACACTTCTCCCGCTACCTAAACAGACTTACGCCGAGAAACCGATAGAGGTTCCATTTTAGCACTCGTGAAACACTACGTTCAGATCGGGTGGCCAGTGAATACGACCAAGGAACTCATGGCTTTTCGTAACAGGATGACCGAACTCAGTCTCCAATATGGATGTGTACTGTGGGGAGCCCGATTTTAGTCCCCAAAAGGATGCTATCAGTTATCCTGGATGAACTGCACGATGTACACCCAGGAGTCGCTTAAAAGAAGTTGCCCACTTTTATGTATGGTGGCCTGATTTAGACAAGGACATTGCGTCGAAAGTTGGGGGTTGTGTGCCTTGTCGGGACAGTCAGAACGCTGTGCCCCATGTGCCAATGCAGCCATGGAAGTGGCCAGAAGCACCATGGAAACGTATTCGCGTAGACTTTTTTGGACCTCACGTAGGTCAGGTGATCTTGTTGATCGCTGATGCCCATTCCAAGTAGGTTGATGCCCATGTCCTGATTACAGCAAATTCAGCTAACATAACAGTTAAACTGTGTACGACGTTTGCAACCCTCCGTCTTCCCGAAGCAGTAGTGCGAGATAATGGAACAGCATTTACTAGTGCCGAATTTGCTGCCTTCCTTAACTCGAGTGGCATTAGACAGGTAAAAACTGCGCCTTATCATCCATCATCAAACGGTTTGGCTGAGAGAGCGGTGCAGATAGTGAAGAATATACTATTGAAGCAACCAGCAGCCCCACTGCGTGTGCGTTTAGACCATGCCCATTTTGCTTGTTGAAAGATGGCAAACGAAACCACCGGTAGAAGCCCCGCGGAATTAATGTTCGGCCGTCGGTTGAGTACACGGTTGGATATATTGCAAGGTACCCTTGGTTCGGAGGTCTGCGAAAAACAGGAACCCGCAATGGAACACTCTGACACCGGCAGCAGAGACAGGCTCATAGAAGAATCTGATCTTATCTATGTCCGTTTACCTACAGACTCCGGGTGGCAACCGGGCATTGTTAAAACAGCCAACGGGCAAATCATTGAAGCAGAAACTGATGGTAGCAGAATTGTCAGACGCCACATAGATTACGTGAGACTGAGACCGTCAAGCACAGAAACAACCGCTGAGTCTAGACACCGGAGCTGATCGATTCGTTAGTTGCCGGCCCCGAACCAAATGCATCTACGGTGGTTTACGCGCCAACGCCAGCCAGTGGATCGATTACAGGCCGGACAGCTCAAACTACAGGGGGAAGGGGTGGTACGCTGTATCAACGATCGCCGCGTGTGTGCGTACGTGTGGATGTAATCCGGTTATTGGCTGTCTGCTATAGCCACTGCTTGGTGATTTGACGCAGCGCCCATGTGACTCACGTATCATACGCATGGTGTGCGATCCCTTTCCGGTGGACAGTGGTTCCTGCTTTTACCTGAATAACCGTCTTACTACACAGCTCAGCTGTTATCTTATTTCGTCTCGGAGTAACAGTACTGAATGTTGCGTTAACTTGAGTGCGTACTACGTATGCCCGGTCACCGAGTACCGAGGAGAGCCTAGTTTTGTTTGCCAGATATATGGTGGCGCAAGGCTCGAGTGAGCAACAATTAATCGGGAAGCCAGAAATTAAGTTACTGACGACCAAACTGAGTGCCCTTACTCTGTTTTGTATCAGGCTGGAGTGCGCTTGACTCTACTTTTACTTAGCTCATGACTTTATAGGACATGACTCGCAGTCGGTACCAGTAGCATTTCTGCTGTCGCTTCCTAGTAGCACCCGCATCATAACGCGGATCAGTGAAAGCCGCAAGAAAGCTCTCTGGCCGACGTCGCCTTACGTTTGCCTGATAGACATCTGGTTGTGACGGTATACTGTTGACAAGGCGCAGGCGCCTTGACCATTAATGTTTGTTTGGGGTACCAAGGTTTTACGCGAAGTCCCCATTCTTCCCCCCTTATTGTTCTTCAAATCCTTGGTCAATGTGATTGTAAGGCGGCGAAGCGCCAGTTTAAATAGCTAATGTGCTGCTATTGATGATGGTGATGACTGTCGTCATCGCCACTGCTCCAACCGGAAAGAGATGCACATCTCCTGGCGATGTGCACTTCTCGGCTTACGATTACCCGGTAGCTATGGGAGTCCGTCGGTGGTGGAGTGGAATAAGGTGTGTACCTCGTCACCGATTCGAATATGCGAGTAGCGATCGATCTCGTATGTTGCCAGCACTCACGCGACTGTTGGTGGGCACGTGGCAGCGAAGGTTTGGTACGAAGTACCGGTGTACTATTCAGGTTATGGATATAAACAGAGGAGTCGTCTGTCAAGCTACTAGTTTTCCACAATTCGGTTACTGTGCGGAGAAGTCATAGTCATCCCCAAGTCGAAGATACTGGCAACTTCCGGTATCTGTGAAAGATGGCTTATAGGCGCATCACTGAGAATGTGGCATCTCGCTCACGCTTTACTGAGTAATTTAACCTATGGGTGCTCTTTTACGAATTTGGCTGCTGATGCTTGTGATTTCTTTCAACTGATCCGTTCCATAGTCCTTCCTCAGTACAGTCCACATACTCCATTGAAGCCTTGTGTTGCGTCCATCCGCAATATCACTTCCTATACGCACATAACCTAAGCAGTCTATCTAACATCGCTGTGTGTGCTTGGCTTTGATTGACGTGGTGAGTCCGTTAGACTGGAACGTATTACAAGACATCCCTAATTCCCACAGTTCGGCGCTTTCGCGCATGACTGGTAAACTCCAGTTAACAGGACACCCTGTGATTCTTCAAACGCCGTAGCGGAACAGTGGGGTTTGCAGTCTTTTTTGTCTTCACACTTTCAATGTCCGAATTGCTCGCGCATGTTACTTCGATGAGTTTTCGATCTCAGAGCTACAGCTAATCACGTCTTTTCTATAGTCCGTGTATATTGACTTGAAGGATGACCCAGATAGGGCCATATCCTTCCTTCGTTCGGATATGCCATCCATATAACAATACCATTGGTATTTTCACCATGAAATCCCAATCTACCAGCCCCAAGCCATCATAGAAATGTTCCATAATCTTTCTATCATCATACACAGCACCCACTAATTGCTTTGCTTACCTCTGCTTTATCCCGCACCGCAGTTACGGTCCGTGATCCCAGGTCCTAACTTGGCTCTCGAATTGTTACAGTCTCGATTAGCGGTGCTCCACTCTGTTGACTTACGCTCACTCATCTGCCAATATGTCATTCTTTCCAGTTTGCCTAACCACACTGTCTCGTGGATCTTTATGGCAATTCCTGGCTGTTCATCTCACTGCGTGCGTGCACCGCATCGGGCCGCGGTGTGTACAAATGTCCTCACTGCTTCACTGGAGCTCTTCAATTACCATGGATACACACTTTTTTAAAGTCACCAACTCCTCTTCGCTTAGCCCATTTTGCTGCGCCCCACATCGATTGTACTATGTCTATATGGTAAGCGTCATTGCCGTTTGTGTAAGAATAGCCGTTGATGCTTTCACCGTTCCAACAAGGACGTAGACTGGAGGTGTAAGTCCGGGAATCCCTGCCCGACGTAATTGAGTTGGAGTGCGGTGTAACACAAGGCGCCTATCCTTGGTTTTCATAAATGACTTAGCGATGACAATTGCTCCAAAGTTACTGTACTTCGCGGACGATATCAAAATATGGCGAGCGATCGGATAACCGCACGACCACAAAGAGCTCCAACGCGACCTCAATGTGATTTCAAACTGGTCAGCTTAGGATGCCCTATCATTCAAGGTGGACGAATGTTGCGCTGTTCAATTACGCTATAGGCATGACTACATGTTTTGGCTTGAGACACACTGATTGCAGAAAAGTTCCCTGGTACGCCACCTTAGTGTGTTCGTACAGAGTGACCACAACTCGTCAAAACAATCTAAGGCAGCCGTGAAAAGAGTCAAACAGCACGTCAGTATGTTGAGAAAAGCATTCGGGATATTTGATCCATTGCGCTTCCCAACGATGCACAAGTCTTGCTTGCGCCCTCACGTTAAATATACCATGTAAACATGGCAATTTTGGTTGAAGCGCGAACTCAAGATGTTAGAGACACAACGGTGCATGGCAGCTAAGAACGTCACTGGTCGACGCAATATCTCTTAGCATCAAAGGCTGAAGTTACTGGGAGTCTTCAATCGACGTTACCGTAGGCTACGTGGTGATCTCAGATTGGTGTGCAAAATATTGTATAACCCTAATCACGTATATCGCTATTAGCTGTATCTCAGCCACAACACCAACCTCAGAGGTAATCGCCTGAAATTTAGTGAATAGCACAGCCGCCTATAGAAGGTCGACGGAATCGCTTTTCTCTTCGGGTTTACCAAACTCGGAACTGTCCTCCAAACTCAGTTGTCTCGTTCCCTACTTTGAGTATCTTCAAAAAGCTTCCAGCGCTACGTTAGATAAGCTGCGCTACTGTGTATTCCATTAATCATGCGCTTCTAACCAAGGAAGTGGTACACGAAAAAGCGTTCTCAAGTTTATCTTCCTCAAACAATAAGCCAACTGTAACTGCTGTCTACACTGTTTGGTCTGCTTACATCCAATCCCCCTTTCCCACTATCGTTATTCAACAATGCATATAACTCATTAAACGCACAAACAAATGACTCACATATCTCTGGATTTTGTAGTCTTCACCATCCTAAGGGACTTGTCAAACACCTGCTTTGCTATCGGTGAAAAATCATTCGTTATATCTCGTCTTGGTTTTCGTAAGAGAAACCTATGGGCTATCGACTCGCATTTGTGTGGCCTCTCCCATCACTAGTCATAGATAGTGTGCGAACCGTTTATACAGGCAGAAAGCTCAGTTCGCGCTTAAGACATCCTTTGAGTTTCCAGTGCCGCTGACGCCCAAAGTAAAATTGGTTGGTTACAAATAAAAAGTTATTGCTCCGTGTTGCAATGAAAGAGAACAATTATTGTTTCAAGTTGTATTTCTCAGCACACAGCAGGATAACCACGAGACAGGTAGAATCTGTAGCGAAACGTATCGAAGCACTAAACAGTTTCAGCGAGTGTGGAGAAATGGCCGACCAGTTGAACAATCTTGGTTGCGTGTTAAATTCCAAGACGCAGCACAGACGGGGTGATAAAGGGAAAAAATCCGCTTTGAACATTTAGACGAGTGTTGTTTGGTTAGCAGCCATGGGAGGCAAGTGTATATTGCGATTGAAATGAGAAAAAGCACGGGAAGGTGTAATTTTATGTTTTACCTGGCGTGTGTGTGTGTAGCTAGAATGAAATGTAAAAAGAAATAAAAAAACAAAACAAGAGCACAAAGCACAAGATTCGAAGCGACAAAAGCGAACGACTGTGAAAACCAAGGGCAAGTGGGTGGTCACGTGACCGCTGTTCTCACACAGTTCTTCAAAGTCGGAAAAACTCGATATCTGATCACTGAAACGGAACATGAGGATTACTCTATATTTTACAATGTTGTAGATGATCAACAATGGTGGGAGAGAGAGAGGACGTCGATTGGGAACTGAGACCTTTCGGCCAGATTTGGGACGGTAATCAGTGACATGAGATGGGGACAATCACGGCTGGATATCTCACGAGTACCCCAAAGCAATATTTGAACCATGAACAAACACGAGGTACATTTTAAAATCACAATTGGAACAAATACACGGTTAACTGTGGTAGTGAATTTACCTAACTTAAATCCATTAATAAAATACCACCCGTTGAGAACTACCGCTCATTTTGATGGTACCAAAATTTGTTCGTTGATCATGACAAGCCTCAAAGAGGTTGTTTTTATGTTGTTCAAGGGCTTACGAAACACAATGAGTCCGAATAGTTCGTGCAGTCTAGATAATGGGACACGATTGTGTCGCGCCGTAGACATACACACATTCATCAGTTGAATGACTGTTACATGCTGGAGACCCCAAAGCGTGTGGCACGAAAAGTCACTTCTCCGGTTGCATTTGATCGAATGCCTTTAATACAACCCACAGTTCCTGAGGTTGTTAGCGATTATCACGTCCGTAACAGCGTCAAAAACGAATTGGATGTTATTGGTATCTGTGGCACATGTCTGGTGACAATATATTTCCTTATTAGGGGACCGATTCTTCGCCTCAAAGGAGGCTTGGATGTAGATGGCCGCTTCTTCGTATGTTTGTTTACCTAGAAAGTACAGAAAAAAGGGTTGGGAAAATTGGCAAAATGATGAGATGGTTGTCATGGTACCTGCACACTGGGCCAATATACAAGAACGACCCAAGCAATCATTTTGATGGCCTTTGCATACAAATGTAGGATTCCCAAATGTGTGGTGACCTCCAGCTCAGGGTGGCCAGCAAGTTGAACTGACTGACGCTTCATTTGCTGTTCTGTCAGCCAAATATAATCCAAGTGCCAAGTACGGTTAACGCAATTACATTGACTTTCGCCACTAATTATAAGAACTGGAAACCGGATTGGAAAAGTTTAAGTCGCCTGATGGAGCAGTCGCAAACTAGAATCACGCTAGAGGCTTATTGGCGGAAGCACAGATGATAAATCGTAATGATCCCTTGAGGCGACTTCTTGAAGGCTTTCTCTCAAGCCATCAATGAAATCGATATAGGCTTTGTGTACTAGGACGGGTGCATTTTCATTATTTTGCACTATCGGTTGCAGATGAACTAAAGCGACATTAGTAGATTTGTGAAATTTCACGAATAAAGGCAAAATGGTAAGAGTGCAGTGACATCATTCGAGTGTCTTTGAGCAAAAACAGTACATTGCTGAAGGAGATTTAGCAGGATTTTTATCCGGTTAACGTGGCAAAGTTCTACTCGAGTGTTTGTCGACAGCTTGTCTCAGGTTGCTGAATGTAACAAATTGCGAATTGTGCGCAGTATTGCGACGCATTTTTCCATGAATCGGCCTAGTGACCTTCGAAATAGCTTAGTCAAAGAATTCACCTAAATGTCCCTTTAAAAATAGAGAAACCCACGGTGGATAGCCTAGGACTGATTTGTCAACGAAAACAGCAAAGGCCAATTTAAAGGCTCTGCTTGTACTTTCTAGCGACTCCGAAAGTGTTCTATGGCACCGGATCACTGAAGCATTTGTCTCAAGTTTTATTTTCAGTCTCCCTTCGAAACTAAAAGTCATAGGTGTGGATGCCAGATTTAGCAACAGTTGCGGTGGTAGTTTGGTTTTGTGAAATTTGCAAATTATATTCAAGTCCAGAATTTCCCTGCACTGTTGTGGTCAATCTGTAAAACAACCGCGCAGCTGATTCAGCATTGCATGAGCAGTCGCTGCACTGTGATGGATAGAAACACCATCATTTGCGACTACATGATTGTTTTTTATGTGATTCATTTGTATTCCAACCCCAATCGAACTAAATTTTGCACTCACCGGGATATTCTGGGAAGCAAATGGTCAGGGGAGATCGTTTGATCTTCTCCTCAAACAGGTCCTTTTTGTTTAAAAAAAGTATTATACTCGTATCTGTGAACCATTTGTTGTTGCAAATGGAATCAAACAGCTTGAGAGACTCTTGCATGCGGTTCTGAAAGGGAAAACGGAACCAAAAAAATTACACGGCAACTTCATTTTACTCTGATGTAGTGGTAATGAAACCAAGATCTGATGAGAAATAGGTCAGTCAATTACTGCACGCTCGAGCATGGTTGAATATGTTCACATTCATTGCTTCCCTTGTTAGGCGAAAGCATCGGCGCAATCTGTTCGAAATGGTTTGTGTTCAAAGTTACGACACTGACCAGCATAGTGATGAGAACAACCGGGTGATGACCCACTAAACAGGGTAATGTCTACAGAAGGAGCTAGTGTCTTACAAGTAGATGACTTGCCGATACATCTCTTTGTCGAGGTCGAGCCGAACAGGTTAATGACCTTGTGCACATCAAACAGCTCACGGGTTCTCGGCTCAACTTAAGTTGAGCCGCGGAGACCCGGAATGAATTGAATGTAAACTTTGTACTTGTATTTTCCAATGCAGTCTCTCTGGCGTTGTTTGGCAGTTTCTTTCATCATCCAAACATTTCACCTGAGTGAATAGTGCACCCATTCCGATGTTTGGGAAGGAGTTAAGCATGTCCTACTTCAAAACGTTACATGCGTCGTGCTCTAGCTATATTTACTGTGAAGTGCCTGCTCGATATCTTGGACTCTGTCACTCGTTCTAACTCCAACTGAAGCTGTTAGGTTGATGACGAATGATCCGGTAAGGAAAAAGAATGGTGTGTCATGGCAGAAAGTTCCCTAACGTCACATCTATTTCACATCATACGCATGGACATATGTTTGTCTAACCGTCTCGTAAAACATGTACTCGCAGAACGAACCGTTGTCTCGTCCTCGTGTAGAACTTGATCGTATTCGCTCATTGCAACGCAAAAGATGATCGCCGTGACGTCCTCGAAACAATGAATCCATTTTTTACGTTCTGATCGTTGTCCGCCCACATCGAAAAGTCTGGAAAAAACGATGCGTATTTTGCTGTCATTCATCGGAACAGGACAGTATGCATTGATGCCGCGTGACTTAATGGGAAGCCGCGCTTTTAGCATTGGTAAAAAGTTCTCTTAAACAAAATGGCCGTTGAGAGAACTCATGCAGCCTGGTCTGATGTGGTTACGGTACAGCTCTGTAAGTTGTGAGCGTAGAAATAATAGACTTGGCATTTTACACTATGAATATCGCATCGACAGAACCTGCTTAAGGTGTCGGAGTGGCAGAACACCGGCCGCGGTGGTTCGCTACAAGTAACTATCTGAAGGTAGCCGAACAAAAATAATCACACGCACATTATAACTAGAGTATGGCGCGTTTTGTAAAGTGTGCCTTAAAATGCCGCCTTAAGGAAATTATGATTCTCCATCGATCTCTCTAAATGGTTCTTAACGCTATCAAGTTGTATGCAATGGGCACTACTACTGTCCATTAAGTGACCAATCCCAAATCAGCCACTAGCATCCCACTCTGTGTGCTCATCCATTGTACTATCGGGTGAGTTAAGATTGATAACACAACGAACGGTACGAATTTCGTATAAGTGTTCGCGCCAGCCGGATGTAATTGGATAGCGTTAAGGACACTCTTAAGAGATCATGGAGGAACATGGTTTCCTTAAGGAGGAATTTGAAAGCGGTATGGGTGTAATTGGCTGAGAAAAGGTACAGCGCGTTGTTGTGTGATACTTTGCACCAGTTGTCCTCGAAAGTTAGCTTCTCGTCGCTCCCAAGTCTAACTACACCTCAGGATATCACAGCTTGACGGTGGGTCAGTTGATTCTAGCATGACGATGAACTTCACTGAAATAAATGACTATAGAAATGCTTTGTTTCTCGATGAAACGAGACACAGAAATACACAACTCCGTTGTCATCTATCGGGTATGGCTGATGGCGCTACCTCCCGGTGTCATCCCACGCTTTACCTCACATCCATCATGTGCAACTAAAAGTGACTTGCTCGTCGTTGAAGTACACGTCTTTACTTACAAACTACATTTATTTCAAAAGGAAACAGGACACCCAGTTCCCCCAGTGGATTAAACAAGCAAGTTTTGGTTCTCTGCGGACTCACACTTGTCGTCCACAGCTCAACCGAAATTGCATGGATATACTAGAGCTCACTAAGGAACAGTGGTAAACATTGTTACGAAATAGAGATATTTCTAGTCAAGTAGAAACACGAAGTTGCTTCGTTACGTGGGAGCTACGGTCTCATGGTCACATACTTGAAATTCATATTCTTGAACTGGAAATGTACTTCTACAATACCGGTTGTTTTAATCCGTGTTCGTAGAATGTCTTGCTCAGTTGGCATGTAGTCTTTGGCTCCAAGGCGGTCTAAATCGTCCAGGAAGCTGCGTTTGCAAAAGGGAATAAAAGTGAGATCACACACCGTGTATGAGCACTTCCAACTACAAGACATATGGTACGAATATATTAACACAATTTGGTGTCAACTGCGACATTACTCGGATTCTCACCTATAAAAAGCACAAGCGGATCGGGTCATACTCCACCGTTTTACCCTCTAGCCTGTCCCTGCAAAACGAATGATTTTCATCCAAAATCAATGAAAATGAAGTCGTACCGAGCATTGCAGCAATTTACCAAGCTTCACTGGATTCAACAATATCATGATCAATGAAGTAAAATTTACTCGATTAAAATAAATGGTCGAATGATGTCAGCTACCAGAAGATCGACTACAAGCCAGATTTCAAGGTCAACTGATAGTGGAGCGGCACTGTGTTGCTCAGCCGGATGACGGTATGATCTTTTCATCAATTTGCGCCGCATGATATCATACGGAATGTTTAAGAACGCTAACAACAAGATACACATATTGGATCGTTTGCTTCAGACGCGGACTGATTAATTGTTTATCGGTACTTACTATTTAGCTGAGTCGTTAAGTTGGTATTCGTTTGATCGCGCGAAGCACTCTTGAACACCAGCGTCAGCCCATAGTCGTTTCATAGCCTCAAGAAGGTCCTCTGAAAATGGCTTGGTATCCTCCATTGCCTGTATCACATCACACACTATTCTGGCATCTTCTGCCTAAAAGAGAAAAAAATCAATTTGGCAGGTTTAGCTCCACGTTTGCATAAGTACGTAGGTCCATGGGATTCCTGCGAGTTGTTTGCAAAATATGTTGCGACGGAGTAGCCATACATATTGATACGATTTTATTTGTAGTCATCAGGCAGGACTGCCGCTTGAACTCGGGACCTATGTCGCTCTAGCTGAAACGCTTACCGCAAAACCACCGATTCACAGCGGGCAAAGCTTGTCACTGGTTAATAACGCATTAACCGCTATCATAAGCATTGCCCTCAGCGACTCGGTGGTCTAGGGATGGAGATTTCGACTATTCTCCCAAAGGCCCTTTCAGTTTCAAACTGACCGGCTGCTTTGTAGATCTCTAATGTACCGGCTCCAACCGATACACTGCACCCATCAAAAGTACCACCTGACTTCCGACATCCAAGGCGGAGGACGCGGATACAAGTTTGTACGAACTTTAGGCGGTGATGAATCTTGTAGTAGTTTACAAGGTAACCTAGCCGCAGTCCAGTCAGAATACGGCAGCTGTTCTCCGGATGGGCCATTTTCCATAAATATGCTAAAACGCAGCTTCAATTGCGAACCCTAAGCACTAGGTTACCGAGTCTGTGCGACTTTTAATTATTTGGCAGTCTAGAGGGAATAGCTCTCAAATTACTCAAGTCACTATGGATAGGAAAGATGGGTAAGTCGTCGCATCACGTTAAGTTTTGGCTCCGACGGATAACCTATGCAGTCTGTGATATCTTCAACGCGGTTTTTTAAAGGGATGTGAAGGCTTTTTTATGAAATGTTTGCAGTGTACTGAGTAGACGAGTCTCCATATAACTTAACTAGCCCGATGTGGCTGAACTGCTATTCGGGAAATCTCTCTAAATGTTTTCATAGGTCGGGCAGCTGCAGGACAACGCTGAATAGACGTGTTCCATCATTAGCCAAGCCCGCACGAGTGGACAAGAAGTCACCATGCCGAAGATAATGGATCACGTAGCGTGACTTCTGGTTTGTTCTACGGAGCAACTATAACAACCTCCAGGTACATAAATTGGATACAATTGGGGTTTAGTTGGCTCTGCATGGGATACTTATCACAGCCGACGTCCCCAAGTGAGAAAAGAACAACCTACGAATTTGAATTCGACGAAGTAATGTCTTCGGGACAAGCAGCCCTTTACGCATAAACGACACCAATTCCTTTATGGCGCAGTTGTGACTTCAACTTCCCTACTGTACTCAAGTAATCTAACTGGAAGTGTTAACAGTAAACCAGTTAGATGATTCTTTGAGATGCACAACGCAATGCTCAAATTGGTGTCTGGAGGCGGATCGATTGCTGACGATTGCTGTCTCATTTATAGCAGCCGTTTCTTGAACCTGCGCCTCAGCTTAGTGGGGATGATATACCGTTGTCCACAACAAGACCAGCCGTCTCTACCTCAAAGGCACCAATCATTCAGCAAGCCTCGCATTCCATCTTGAACCTCATTGTCAAAACCGTGTCGGCGTGATGCAGACATCCTGATTCTAACTTTACAGCGGTCAGAAAACCACCATGATTAACTCAAAATAAGTGAAACCATAACATTCCATCCACCATTCGGACGTCTCAAGTAAGGGACAGGTTAGTGGTCCAAATTTATTTAGGATCCAACTTAAATTTATGCGAATGGGAGTTGGTATGTTGGGTACTGACATGTGACAGTGTGTCACGCTGAACAGTGTCACCACTCCTGAGCTGAGTGACGGTCGATGCAACACGCAGCTTTGCTTGGTATACACAATGGAAGAAGCAAAGTTAAGAGCAGCTGTGGTCAAAAGGTATGACCGCAGTTTTGTGAAGAATGACTAGTGTGGAGAAACAGAGAACATTAGTTCCACTTGGCCATGTCTTGTGACAACGGTGGATGGTGGTGTTCCATTGTCCCCAGGCGACGTGGTCGTAGGGACTGTAACCCACTTTCAGTTTACATGCCGGTGCAAGTAGCACGCGTACGCCAGACCGAGCATCACCTCTTGATATAGTGAAGTTACAGAAAGGTCGGGAACATACCCATCCATTGCTTAGCATGCATGTTTGATGAATGGGACTGTAAGCCAGCATCGCCATGGCTGCGTTAAGAAATCACAGATTGTCGCTCCGGTGTGCGTACACCGTAACTTCATCCGAATTGGGGCGATGTACAGCAAGTCCGATTTTTACAGCAAAAACTGATGAGGACTGCGCGCAAACCTGTACAGCTCGACGAACAAGTGGCTACTTCTGCGTTACACACTAGATCAAAACTTATTTGAGGAATTGAACCAGAAAAACTAGACCGTTGGATAGTGAAAAGGAGCATGATGTTATTCAGTCGTGTTAGTAGAATTGGACACGATCCGTATTGTAGACTCTAGCATGTCAGAGTGGTAAAGCGAACGCGCTGCTTATCAGCGCAGGTGCCGAACGAGGCACGAGCTACTAACCAGCAGCGACGAGTAGTGGTGATACATTCACCTTAGACGAAGGGAAAGGTGAGGAAGAAAGGAACTGAAACAGTTAACATGGGTAAAATGTGAACACAAGCACACGTTGCATTTCGAGAAGCGCTATGAGGTCAAAATAACTCGCAGTGGGTGGACGGAACGCGAATTCGTCAGAGATCCTAGGAGATAGTCTAGTGGAGTGAGTAGCATCTGAGTCCGTTGTAGTTTTGTTTACGGATGAAAGCTGAAATTAGTATTGTTAGCTTCAGCTATATTACGCCATTAGGCATCTATTGTCTGAGACGGTGTCGTCTGGATAAATCGAATGCAACAATACTTTGGAGAATGCGAGAAACCGATTCAATACGATAAACCAAAGAAATGATGTCACGTCTGTCGAAGATCTTAGGCGGTTGAGCTGCGAAAGGGAATCTATCTGGGGTGATGCATTCTCAGCTGGTAGTCTATGTGTTACCCTGGCCGACCGCGCAGTGCATGTGTGTGTATGTGTGTAACAATACGAGTGTTGCACGAATTATCGTGGCATCAACTTGCTGAGTTGTGTGAGCAAGGTGATTGCCCGAATCCTGCTCAACCGCCTCGTCAGTCAGGCTATGGAACCGAACATGGCGGAACAGCAGTGTGGATTCCGCTTGGGTCGCAACACTATAGCTACGGTGTTTGCGGCTCGTCAGTTGCAAGAGAAGTGCAGAGAACGACACCAGCCATTGTACTCGCTTTTTGTTGACTTCACCAAGGCATTTGATACGGTGAACCGCGACGCATTGTGGCTGGTGTTGGGTAAGTTTGGTTGCCCGCGTAAGTTTGTAAGTTTAATTGAATGTCTGTTACAGTGGTATGCGAGCGAGGGTGCAGCTGAGTGGAGAGACCTCGGATGACTTTGCAGTTGTCACTGGTGTGAAGCAAGGCTGTGTCTTAGCTCCTGCCCTCTTTAATATCTATCTTCATGCAATGTTGTCTTGTGCTTTTGATGCCGCTTGTGCTTATGGTGTTCGTGTGGAGCACCGTATTGATGGTGGGTTGCTGAACATCCGTCGTTTCGGTGCGAGAACCCTAGTCTGTGAGACAACTATCCGTATGTTGTTGTTTGCTGACGACTGTGCGTTGTTTGCACACAGCGCGGATGAGTTGCAGCACATGACTAGTGCTCTGGCTTCGACAACGGCAAAATTCGGGCTCACCATCAATACAAGCAAAACTGTCTCTCTTTCAGCCTTCACAGGAGGTGAAATCTTCAATATTGCCGCGAATCAGCATTGGTGCTGAAGTATTAGAAACCACCTCCCGCTTTTGCTACCTTGGGAGTGTGATGTCGAGTGATCAGCAGCTACACGCTGAGTTGCGTAATCGCGTGTCGAAGGCGGCAGCGGCATTCGGGAAGCTTGAGTACCGAGTGTGGAACAACCATCAGCTTAGCATTGGCACGAAGCTGATGGTGCACAATTCCGTCCGTTCTTCTATACGGCAGTGAAACGTGGACGATGTACCGTCGGGATGTGCGATATCTCGAGCAGTTCCATCAGCAGTGTCTGCGACGAATTTTGCGGATCGGTTGGGGCGCCAGTTGCAGAAGTGTTGCGGAAGTGTTGCGCCGAAGTGGGATGTATGCAGTGGACGGCATACTTTTACTGCGACACCTGAGATGGCTCGGTCATGTGAACCGTATGGATTCGACGCGAATACCGAAACAACTATTATACGGTCAGCTGAGTTTGGGAAGCGGCATGTGGGGAAACCAAGTTACGTTACCCAGGACATAATTAAAGTGAGCCTCACACGTTCTAATCTTGATTGCAGATCATGGGAATCGAAGGCGGTTGATCGGCACGCATGGCGCGATCTAATCACGAAGGCAGTTGCTGAAGTGCGGGAGAAAGCCCTCATACATGCAGAGAAGAAGCGGCAAGTGCGGAAGCGGCAAGCACCAATGAATTGTACTCCATCGACATCGAGCGCATTGTGCTGTAGAACATGCGGTCACGAGTGCCTTAGTCAGGCAGGCCTAGTGAGCCATGAGAGAGGTCACTCGGGACCACTGCCGAAGCGACGACGGGTCCCGCAGTGAACGTAGGCAGCACCGGCGCAGCGTTTGTAGGCACGCTGCATTCGATTTACTACGGCATGCTTGCATGCTAAGTCTCTTTATTTCAGGTGGTGGGTTTTCGGTTCTGTCTTAATGCCTTTCTTTCTCATATAAATGTCTAGTCTAGTGAGCCATGAGCTAGGTCCTTTGGGAAACTACAGAAGCGACGACGTGTCCTGCAGAGAATTATGGCGAGCCGGCGCAGCGTTTGTAGGCACGCTGAATTCAATTTACTAACCGCAATGCTTGCATGCTAAGTCTCTTTATTTCAGGTGGTGGGTTTTCGGTTCTCTCCTAATGCCTTTCTTTCTCATATAAATGTCTAGTGGGCCATGAGCTATGCAATTGGGTGCCACTACAGAAGCGACGACGGATCCTACAGAGAATTACGGCGAGCCGGCGCAGCGTTGGTGGGCACGCTGAATTC